CCCCTCGATACCTGACAGCGATCCATTAAAACCCTGATTCCCAAGGCGAATTCCATCCAAATCCGGGCCATGGATTCCGATTACGTCGCCGCCGATCCAAACCCTCACCAATCTGCCTCTACGCCTGGCGCCGCACCTTCCCAGCTCGCGCAGATGCGGTCTCTCACCTTGGAGGTCTCCAACGATGCCGCGGGAGCCGAACAACCAGCTGGCAACAGATCCCTGCCTGCGGATTTCTACGAGACAGTGGATGAGATCGAGGTCACGAAGAAGGGGTCTCCTTTGGTTCGGAGTCTGGCTGGATCTGCTTCTTGTGGCGAACCTGAAGACTGGAGGGAGAGATCGGAATTGGACGGCGAGGCGCTGCCTAGCCCCAGCAGTAGCGGCTATGCCGGTGAGCCAGGGAGTAGTGGAGGGTCCAACGGGATCGAGGAGGAGGCTGACGATGGAGGATCATCGCTGCGGGGTGACTGGAGCCGCGGGAAGAGGCATTTTGATGAGGTGACTAGTTCTTGGTTTTTTTTGAACTTCTGGTGGTTTCTCAATTTTTGCTCTTAAAGTTGTGAGCGATTGGTCAATGAAGTTACAAGAATTTTCATATAGCAGTCATAACTTTTTTGAATTCTGTAATATTCTACAGTCTGAAGTTCTATTAAGTTCCTATAGGATTGTATTTCTTCTTGTGCTAGTTCACTATGCTCTAATTAAGACCACAGTTATAATTCAGCATGTTGATTCTCATAGAAGCCTTCTAAGCCTTTAACCATAGAAGTTGATTAGGTTGGTTACTTTTTCTTTGCATCTGATTTACAGGACGATGCTTCGATTTCATGGAGAAACAGAAAGAAGCACTTTTTTATTCTGAGCCACTCTGGTAAACCAATATATTCTAGGTATGCCGAGATTTTTCTTCTGATAAGGCCCTTTTTTTGTTTTTTATACGCTTTATATAATGTTTATGGGTCCATATAAGTTATCAGGTGATGGTTGGTTTTGTTTAATGAATTCTTTTATTTTCTTTTGCATATCATCCTTCTTCACTTTCAGGTATGGAGATGAGCATAAATTAGCAGGGTTTTCAGCAACCTTGCAGGCTATTATTTCTTTTGTAGAAAATGGGTATGGTATTTTCTGAACAGCTTTACTATTCAGACAATCATTTTAAATTTCCTTTGCAATGAATTGACTTGATTCTTTCTTTATATATTTTGCTAGTGGAGATTGTATCAAGTTTGTGAGAGCTGGAAATCATCAGGTTAGTTTCTTGGCCTTTATGTTGTATTCAACTATTGCTCCATGAGGCCTTCTTATCTGTAATTACAACAGTAATATTCTCTTTGTTGCAAATAGGAAGATGGACCCCAACTCATTAACATCTTCTATCATTACACTTCCTGTTACCATTGCCTAGTGATAATTTCTACTTTAGACCAGTTTTCCCACTCATACAACTTTTTTAAGGTATTACATTTACCATGCCTAGTCAATTGTAGTGCAGCTATAAAATTAATTGCAGGTTATTATTATTATCCTTATAAATGTCGTACTATTATTTTTGTTTTGGTGAACCATCAATTCTTTTTTGTTTATTTTTATGGATGAGTTCTTTTCCTCCTTCCACTGCCACTGTTGTCCTGATTGTTGCAAGAACATGTCTCATTTGGCAGTCAAGGATGTGCAATCAGATAAACAGCATTATTAAATATTAATTGTTGGGGTCAGAAAAAACGATTGGGACTTCACGTCTTGTTGTCGTATGTACAAATTCACCATTTATTGTTGTCTCCTATATTGCTCTTCCTATGTCTTCTCTATGCTGAGGCTCCTGTGTTTTCCAGTCATGTTATTTCTTACTCTTTTCCCATCTCTCTTTGTTATGTATCCGTAAGCATCAGTTCTCTATTTTTTTTGGCAAACTTTGGAAAGAAGAACCATGTTTCCTCATGTCCTTTTTATTTTTTTTATCTTAATTAATGTCTTTTTTTTCTTGGAGGTGTTTCATCCAATGAAAATTTTGCAATTGAAAATTATGATATATTAGTGATTTTGGATCTGTTGTTCTGCTTTGTCCATAGCTGCCAATATATATTTTTAGACAAATGATTTCCTGCAGTTCATGAAACATTTTTCATCATATGATGAGCTTATCATGTCATGACTGTATGCTCAGGTTCATGATTTCACTTCTTTGTATCTTTTGCTGCAGTTCCTCTATTTACTTCGTCATGTTTGATTGGCCAATGTCTCTTTGAATGATTCTGATATTTTTCTGGTTCGCCATTTTTTCTTTGACCGGATGAATTGATGAGGAACGAATGAACTTGTATAATTTAAGTTGTCTATACTATGTTCACTCTTCTGTGAGTTATTTTGCATTTCTGTGCACTCAGGTCATTTTTCTTGTGAAAGGTCCAATATATTTAGTGTGCATAAGCTGTACGGAAGAGCCATACGAGGCTTTGAAAAGACAATTAGAGCTTATTTACAGTCAGGTATTCAAGCTTATATTTTTTATGCTACACATTGATTTACTCCTATATTTTCTTTTCAGCCTTTGTCTAACTATTCTTTTGGATCTTTTCTTGATTATTTTTGTTCTTATGAGTTCATCTTAATAAATTTTTTTGAAGTTTTACATTGTAATTTTGTTGTCTTGATCCAGTTGCTGCTTATCTTGACAAAGTCTGTCGATAGATGTTTTGAGAAGAATCCAAAGTTTGATATGACACCTCTGTTGAGTGGAACAGATGAAGTTTTCTCATCTCTGTGTCATGCCTTCAGCTGGTTTGTATAGTATACTTTGGAACAAAAACTTAAGCGTCTAATACATAGTTTTAAATAAACGGTTATTCTACTTTGATTGTCCTGAAAGTTATCATAAAGTTGTATCTGAATATTATCTTACATAAATTTATGCACGGGAAACCAAACTTTTAGATCCTACTTTCTACCTAGCTTAGTCACTCTAATATGCCTTCGTGAAAAATCTTGTCACGTTCTACCAACAAAGAAGATTGTTAAGACAATTGAATGTATAGATGCATCATCAGTACTCTCTCTAACCTTATGTTTTCAACTAAATTTATTCCATTCTATCCTGAATAAACGGAAGAATATATTGCTTTGCTCAGTGTGCCACTGTGCAGCAGGTAGAGGGTCATGTGCTATGCCTGTCCTTTTTTTCCTATATATACATATTTACATATTTACATATATATATATATATATATATATATGTATATATATATATAT